GACCTTAGTGCTTACTGTAGGAAATATTGCTTGTTTTTAATAATGACTAACACTCACTAATTACTATGCATAGGACACTGCTCTTACATATGCTTACTCTTATATTAGCCTGTGTGTGTAGGTGTGTGTGTATATGTATGATTGTGTCAAAGAACAGGAGTTGATGTCTTTCTTGATTGCTCTCCACCTTAATTTTCTAGAACATGGTCTCTCACTGAACTTGGAGTCACCAATTTGGCTTGAATGGCTAGCCAGAGACTTCTGGGCATCCTCCTCTTTCTACCTTCCCAGCACCAGGATCACAGGCTTGCTCTGCTCTACCTTCATTTTCTTCTAGAGGATTCAACTTGGGTCCCAATGGCTGTGCAGCAAGAGCCATCTCCCCAGCCAGCACTTGCCTTTTGGAAATGGGGATTATATCTTCAGTGCAACAATAACTTAAAGTATTCTTCCCTTGGAGCCTCTCCCACTCTTGGGAGTTCTTTCTAACTTTTACTTGGTAGATCTAAATTCTCTCTGTTTCCAGATGAGAGGAGCAGTGGGGAGGGGCATGGGAGAGAGAAAAGAAGATAAGTTAATAGCCCAAGGCATAGAGAAGTTAAGCAAATTTCTGATGCTCAAACAATTTTAAAAGATTGAGTGTGAGTTAACAGTTGAGGAGTATGACATTCCAGCAAGCATCTTAATTATCCTCCCAGACTCTGGGAGGGCTGCTAACTTATTCTGTTGTTGCAATGTATCCTTACATAGGTATTACATGGTATTATGGTATTAAGATTTATCTTTATACAGGGAAGATACTGTGAATGTACATCGTATGCATAAACTCTGGAAATCACCCACAAAAGACTGGAAAATCTTCTTTTATGTCTTATTTCATGTGTGTTCTGAGCCATTATTACAGTGAGCTAATGGCCTCACCAGGGAGAACCATCTAATCTAGATGATGTGTAGTTTAGGCGACATGAAATGATAGTTTGACTTCCTTAAACCAACTATTTGTTGTTTCTCTCCTTCACTGTTCTATGCTGTGGGGTGTTCTGTATGCTATGAATGTGTTGCTCTGATTGGTTGATAAATAAAACGTTTGTAGCCAGGCAGGAAGTATAGGTGGGATAAACAGACAAAGAGAATTCTGGGAAGTATAAGGCTAAGTCAGGAGACACCAGCCTGCCTTCCAGGGAGCAGCATGTAATGGTACACAGGTAAATCCATGGAACACATGGCAACATATAGATGAACAGAAATGGGCTGAGTTTAAGTGTAAGAGCTAGTCAGTGGTAGGCCTGAGCTAATGGCCAAGCAATTTTAATTAATATAAGCCTCTGTATGTTTACTTGGGTCTCAGTGGCTGTGGACCAAGTAGGACACAGGAAAACCTTCAGCTACAGTTCTATGAAACACAGCATTCATGCCAGTACTGCAATACTATCAATTGTACTGTGAGATAATATCAGTTTTGTATGCACTTGTATGTGCACATGTATGACTGTAAGGGTGGAGATAATCTTTATGCATCATTCTTCAGTGGCTATCCACCTTCTGTTTTTGAGACAGGGTCTCTCACTGGCCTATTTCACAAGGCTAATGGGCCAGTGAAGCCCAGAAACCTGCCAGCCTCCACCTCACCAGCATGAGGTTATATGTGCTACCACACCCAGTTTTCCACATGGGTTCTATAGCTTGAATTCAAGTCCTCATTCTTGCATGACCAGCACTTAACCAACTGAACTATGTCTTGAGCCCCTAATTTTTAGTCAATATGAGTCAGAGAGAAATATATATATTCATTTGTAAATGTATGTCATGGACACAGCTATTTCTCTTCTTTGTTGAGGTGTCCTAACTTTTCATAATCCTCTATAGCGTACTGAATGAGCAAAGTACATTGATTATAATTCTGCATTGGAAGTTCTGCATAGAATAATTCAAATACTGCTTGCATCACATATTCCAATGCACAATAAACATTGTTCAGCAAATACCTAAAACTATTATTTATGAAAGCCCTATCTGTCTGTCTGTCTGTAGGTTGTGCCCATAGAACCTATAGAGATAAATACCCCAGAAATTTGACTTGTCATAAACAACCACATGCCATTGCCAGGAATAATATACCCATTACTTATTGAGCATGTGGAATGAACCACGTAGTAGCCTGTATATTTCATCCTTGCTAGTTCTTTTGTTTCTTATCATGTGAGGGTGGCCTTACTTTCACCCACATTCTTGGTATATGTTTATATGAGTTCTTAATGTTCATTGAAAGTCTCTTCCATGGCAACCAAGCCATGATTAGAAAACTAGCTGGCTCCTTCTCCAAAACGAACAGATTTTGTTACAATTTCCTTGCAATTCTAGAGAAGAATTAAGACCTCATGATTTATTATGAGGTCAATACTAGTTGAGAGAAGATATTCAACATTAGAATAAAAAATGAAAATAATAGTTTCCATAAAGCTATTAGAAACCACAACTCATTTCATTCTTGAAATATTATATAATTCTCTAGACAATGAGATCATAAACAAGAAAATCCCACAGGCAAAATCCCCAAGAAAGTCCTAAATATTTGTTTTAGAACTTTCAGATATATTTTTCTTTATAATTATGATCTCAGACAAGAGTCAGTTGCCAATAAAAGATTTCCATGTAAGAAATATTGCTATAACAACAAGTATTAAAGTGCCAACAGTGTTCTAAGGAAGTTGAGAACTTAAGTGTCTTTTTATACATCAACATAACAAAAGAAAATGACAGCATACTTTCTTGGAGAATTCTGAAGTATTAATTACATTGTCAAAAGTGAAGATTACATCATACATGCAGCCTTTCAACTCATTCATAGATTGAACATTAACTTGCTAATTTGAATAGTAACCAGTTTGGATAATCAATTTTAATTTTGTTATACATTTTTCTTATGCAAATGAATCACATTGTTCCAAAGACAGAGGGTTCAGAATAACTGAGCAAAATTCATCAACTGACCAAATCCATGCAGTTTTATGTCTGCCCTGATTTGTCCTTTGTGCCACATTTAATCATGAAAAGGATCTTAGGGATTCAAACCAGCCCCTTTTCTTCATCTTACAAGAAAGCCAAGTTCAATGAGACAGTATCATTTGGGTCTTATATTATCAAATATCTGGAATTTGTGGGAGTATTGATCCTTCCCAATCAAGGTGAGGTTGGTGAACCAGCAGCTTTGGCATGTTCTACTACAAGCCATGCAGAAACTTGGTCTGCCTTGCAGTAAGGTCCCTGGATAATAAGTACAGAAAAACGTTTGAAAATCATCAGGTTAGTTTATATTGTGAGGATGGAAGCCTGGTACCTTCTCTGTCACTGGAGCTTTCTCCATTATATCTTGGCCAGGTGTTTAGAAGACCCATGTAGGAACTGTAGTTTTGGGGAACTCCAAATGTTTACCGTCTGTGAACTGAGAGAATTAAAACTATCTGCCACAAAGTGTCAGTTGATGTGAGATGGTATGGCAGAGAGCCCAAGGGCCTTGGCCGGGTGTGCGACTTCTGTGGACACAGCTCGGTACAGCACAGAACCAGGTTCTGCCTGTGCCCACAGAACAAATGAGAGAAGAAGCAAAATGAGAACAATGTAACAAGCAGCTATGACTTGGCAGAGTTATCCTTTATTGGTCAAAAGATACCACTAAATCCCCAAGTCATGTGGAGAGTAGCTGGTATTTTTCTTATTTCATAGAACAGGAAAGTGAAACTCAGGGAACTTTTAAACCATGTCAGGAGTATCTAATAAATGACAGGGCTGAGATCCACATCCCTATCTGCCCCAAGCTCAGACTCGTGAACAAAGGTAGTTGTGAATCTAAATGTCAACTTTAATCAATTATTGGATCTTCTCCCTAAAGCAGACTCTTTTTTCTTTTGCATTCAAATTAGTGTATCAAGTGCACATACCAGTCCCTTTCAGTGCTAAACTTAGGAGGGAAGGCCTAAGGAAGGAAGACATATTCAAAAGGGAAGTGAAAAGGAGCATTTGAAGCCATGAGTTAAATGGGTCAGAAAGCAGAACACGAAGAACGGGCTTCACTCCACCGAGAGGTCTTTTCTGAACATCTTGCAGAAAAAAAAAAAAGAAAGAAAAAAGCAGCACACCTCTTCCTCCTCTAAGAAAAAGAAAAAGCACTATCAACATTTCCTCTCACTTATACATTGCCAGTCTCCTTTCCCTGGGTGAGCTAACCCTCACCTGTAGAAGTCAAATACTATCAACTCAATTAAGCAAAGCTTTTATACCAGACAGGCATTGAGAGCTCAGGGTAAGAATCTATGTCATTTATAAAAGCATCCAAGAGATTTTTCTCCCCAGAAAAGAAATCAGTGTTAATGATTACCAACTTTATAGAGATAAATCCTCCCCAAACCTTCTAGAATCGCCTTTCCCTTTTGTTGTAAGCTGGCAAACAAGGAATTCATAAAGATTTCTTAAAGTCTATTTCACAGCTGTGCCTCTGCGTTGGCAAAATAAAAGGGAAAAAATGGCAGAAATTACTTAAAATGCAAAAATAGCAAAGGGAGCTATTGCAGTGGGTTGTTACAAACGACTTTGGAGATTTGGGGAGGCTAAATCCTCCAAGTGCACTGAGAAGCAGTCATTTCATCTGAAGATAGTAATCCTCTCCCTGAATACTGTGCACGTATTGGAGCACCCTCTTATTAAATTACAGTGTTTTATAACCAGTGAATAAAATTGGTATCATGTTTACTATGCAAAATCCCTGCTATTTTTCAAATGGATGTATATATTTTAATATAAAATTGAAATTTAATATTGAAAGCACCAAGCGATAAAAACCAACCCACCTCATTTCAAACCCTGCTTAAATTATTTTTTTTTTGAAATTCTGTATCTAATAACATAGTTCAATAATACTGAAACGAGATTACCGCTATGATACTATTTGTTTAGGAAACCCAGAATGTTGCTATGGAAACAGTCATTCTGCATATCTATGGAAACAGAGACAGTGTTGTAAATAATGATACTGAAAGGGGAACCTTGTAATGTTACCAGTCCATTCTAAGAAAAAGAAGAATGTGAGGTTGTAGAGCAAGAAAAAGTATGCTTTCTTATAAAAAGAATAATACTTTGTTATATTCTTTTTCTCATGATAGGACTTTTAATCTAAGGTTTCAAAGTTTGATTCTTTAGTAATCTCTCAGTTACTATCTTCTTACTAGTGATCCAAACAAAGCTTATATATACTTAACGTGAAAATTCACTGGAAAGTTTTTTCATTCAACTTTACTTTGATAACATTTTATCGGCCAAATTATTTTTCCTACTAACACTAAAGTGGGCAATATGACAGAAAGTATATGCTTAATTTAAATAAAATTTAAGAGTATAAAGTAATGGCTTTTAATAATCTACAGTTAATCAATGCTATACAGTTGTAGCCTAGGTTATTAAAATAAAATTAGGGTGTAACAAGGTGGCCAAGTGATTGAGGTGGTGACCTTTAAAACAAAGGTGAGTTTTCCATTTATGCTGTGAATATATGAAACCATTATTGGAATGCATGTGATTTAAGACTTTGATTCCCTGAGTAAGTCATGTCTTACTGAAAGGTAATTATTATTTCTTATTTTCCTTTCATCTTCTGATGTGACCAAGACAGCTATCACCGAGGAAATACTGCCACACATTGTAGAATGAAGACTATTACTAAAGAACATAATATGTAAAACAGCAACACACAGCAAAACCACCAAACAGAACTCGCACCTAAGCCCTTGGCATGAATAAACTTAGGGCCTGCACACTCTTGAGTGCAGGAAGCCTCATCTCATTTGAAAAAGGTAAGTTACTACCAACACTGTAATCTGAGTGAACCATTGTAGAGGAAGGAAAGGAAGTTGGCTCGTGGCCTTGCCAAACAGATGAAGATACAAGTTCCAGTCCGCCTGGCAGAATCCCAGCACCTCAAGCTCTCTTTCTCTTCATTGTTTTGTGACTCTTAAGAGTCACACAGAGAAAGACCCAATAGTCTTGTGGGAGCTGAAAGCCATGCTGACTCCTAAATTGTCACTTCTTAGAGTCTTTTAACATTTTGGCATGTGACTATTTCAAGCTAAACACTATATGTGGCTTAGCTTTTATATATATATATATAAAATTATCTTATATCTTATATTAATATATATATAAAATTATCTTAGATTAATATATATATATTAATCTAAGATAATTTTTTTGTTTTGTTTGCTTTAACTTGGAAATCTGCTGTTTTTTTAGGATGCCTTAGTACATACTGGTGCTATTTACTTTAATAATTCAATTTAAAAGTTAAAGTAACTTTTAAATGAAACACTGAGTGAGACCATTGGTTTTTAAATGATGTTTTAGAAAATGACTTCTCCCACCTCAGGAATATTTAACTCTATTTGCTAGGGTTACTCTCCCTAGCAACATTTTTAAACTATCAAACATGAACCTCCAATATTGCAGTGGGAATGAAGCAAAATCATCCTCTTTAAGTTAGAAATGCTTTTGTAAGAGAAACACCTTCATGACTGAATGCACTAGTTCATAATAAATAAAGGTTGTGTGTACTGGAGCACATATGTGTCAAGGCTGGAGCTCAAAGACAATGTTTCTACGGGGCATTTACCCACCAACCCCACAGTTCCCCACAGTTTTCTTGAGTGCAAACAGCAGGAAATATTAGATAGAAGGATTTAGATTGTGGAGATAAACAGATAGAAAATAAAGGATAGCCTCGAGAGGGCCTGGAACCTATTCCAATGAGCTCTGACTGTCTCTACCCCAGGGTATTTATAGAGACACCAAGGAGTGGAGCAAAAGACCTCTCTCCAGCACAGCCAAGTGCAGACTATCTCAGACACCTGCACTCAGGCCCGTGATCTTAATCATCCTCTCTATGCGAACCTGTTGGGTAAAGCCACAAGGAATCTGAAAATGGGCTCCCACACATTTTCTTCCAGCTTTATGTGGATTTTGAGGAATCAAATTCAAATGCCCAGACTTACATGTTTGTTTCTACCCACTGGGCCATCTTGCTTGCCCCATAGTGCCTTTTTATTGTTTAATTTTTGCTTTTGTAGTAAAAGAAACCAATTGTGCCACCACAGAGATGGTGAATTTTATGTATCAAAATGGTTGCCTGTGGAGCTCAGTTGTATCATCAAACATTATTCTAAATGTTTCTATAAGGTGCTTTTGATTGAGATTTGCATATAAGGTGATGGCCTTTGAATACACTATACCATCCTTTATAATTCAAGTAGAGGCCTATCCCAACCAATGAAAGAACACAGAATAAAAGGATGTGCCTCTCTAAACAAGAAGAAATGTCCAGAGACAGTCTTTGATCTTCTCCAGCATCCAGCATCGGTTTTTTCTACGTTTGCATTTAAAATACTACTAATTTCTGTGTCCTTAGTGTCCCCATCCTCACTAGACGATTCTTAACTTACAAAGACTTCATAGTCATCTGAGTAAAGTCTTTAAAATTATGTATATATGTATGTATATATGATCTATTTATCCATCTATCCATTTCCTATCATCCATAACCTATCTATTCAGCTATATATTATCAACCTTTTTATCTGTCATCTATCTACTGACTTACCATTCTATCTACATATCTATTTCTATCATCTATCTACCTATAATCTAGCCATCTATTTATCCAGATATCTATCTACCTACAATGTATCTGTCCTTTTATCTACCATCTTAATTAATGAATCCACATTTATTATAAACTGAATAAAAAGAGTATTTTATATCTTCAAAAATTCTCCATAAGTCTCTCATTTCACCAGGAGAGATAGGGACTTTCCTCTTCATTCTGGACTGTCCTTTTTAAAGTTTTATAAAGTGAACACTCTGGAAGGACACTTACAGTATGTTTCTCAAAGCAAAGGACAGACATACTTACCACCATTATTAAGGGCTGCATCATATGCCTCAAGTAAATCTTCTGAAATGCAATCCATTGCATGTGCAAATCAATGTCATTTGACCCTCTCTGAGTCATGCCTTGGGACAGAGGAGTAGGAGAACTGAAATTGCTGATACTCTGCATGTTGCTGTTGCTGGAGTCATACAGTCCTTTCTGTCTTTGAGCTAAAGTATTCATGTCATGGGTCAGCATTCATGTAACTATGTAAATCAACAAGCAATATCAGACCTTTCCCAGTTATTTTCAGTTTACAAGAACTATTTCAGAGGTTATATACTCAAAATCTATAAACAAATAGTTCACAGTGGCTTGAAAACCCTATTTTCCAGAAGTAAAATCTCATTCTTCTCCATTTAGTGTAGGTTAAACTAAATGAATCATCTCTCAGAAGTAGAATGAGGCAGAAGGAATAAGGTATGGTGTCCGAGGACTTTTCTAATTGTCCTAAGGACTTCCTCCCTCCCTCTCACCCTAATCACCTTGTCTCAATGAATCTATAAGTAAGCCATATAGAAGACTATCTAAGTTCATACTAGGCTCTAAAGGGCTGCAGGCATGACAGACACCTTGACTGTGATGGAAGCAATTGATCAGGGATAGAAGTCCCTCTACTCTGAATTTCTTCATGAGCAACTACTAACAATAAGTTGAAATAAATAAATGAATAAATAAAAGTCTAAGTTTAGCTACAAAATCAGAAAAGCCTATTCTACCCATTGGTCTGGTGCAATTGTGGCCAAGACATTAAAGCTACCTGATATGAAGGTAGCATCAGTACTCTACAAAAATCATGATAGTTATCTGATTATTAAATGAAAAGTATAATTGTCCTAGTTTGTTTTCTGTTACTATGACAAGTATCATGGCCCAAAGCAACTTGGGCATGAAAGACTTTATTTTAGCTTAGTCTATCATCAAGAGATGTCAGGGCAGGAACTCAAGCAGCAACCACGAAAGAATGCTGCTTACTGACTTGCTCTCTCTGGCTTACTCAGCTACCTTTGCTTTATAACCCAGGACCATCTGCATAAGGAAGGTACCACCTACAGCAGGGTGGGGCCTCTTGAGTCAATTATCAAGTAAATATGTGCTCCAAACACATGCTCACAAGGGCAATGTGAAGGTGCCAATTTCTGAATCAAGATTCCCTCTTCATAGGCAACTTTAGTTTTACGTCAAGTTGACAAACATACATGAACACACACACACACACACACACACACACACACACACACAAGCATTTGTTACATATAAAGCATTGTGTAAAGAGATTGAGCCATGACTATGAAATTCTAACTCCTTTAACATACTTTTACCACTTAGCACCATACCTGACATGAAGTAGGTCATCATTAAATCTTATTCTGTTTGATGCTTTTCCCCCCAAAGTATAGGACATTTATGGCTGCTTATGTGGTCTTAGCTATCATTTTCCTTCTCCATGTCTATGACAAATATCTTCTTATAACTGCTTCATTAAAAAGAAAAATCATCCATCCTGTAGGATTACTAAGCAATAAACATTAAAATGAATCATGCAAATGAATATTTAAAAGTTCCTGTTACCTAGTCTGATCTTGTTTTGAGATCAAGGAACTATCTTCATTTAGCCAGGGTCATGAGGAGAAGGAGTGTTATTCTCACTGTAAGCAGTCCATTAACACATCTCATGTCTCCTACCAAAGACTCCAGACATTGAGTCATGCACTCCAAAATCTGTACAAAAGGATCTTTTGGAATATAAGGGAAAATATTAAAACTTTACAAATATTTTTATTTGATTCATTAAACTAGTGTTTTTGTATATCTTTTATAAGGTTCAGAACACATAGAAGATACATTATTACATGTCTTCTGTTTTATAGCTATAGATATTCATAATTTCTATAGGAATAAAAATGCCTTTGGAGGTTGATGATCAAGAACTTTTTATGGATAGTATGCAAGCATTTGGAGAACTCTGCCATAGATCATGATTGAAATTAAAATTGTTACTGACACTTAGCATTTACAGGAACTGAAACCAATTGTGTTTCCCAGCTTACAAGTGTGTTTCAGAAAAAGAAAAGTATGTGATAAAGTTGATGGATTTAAGGACTATCTCAGAATTACAGATAAGAGGCGCCCTTTCTTTGAGACAAAGTTTATCTGTATAATGACCACTGAGAGTGAAATGGTATAATAACCAGATGAAAATTATTCCTGAACCAGAGCCTCATAGAAGGTTTACTGTGGCCTAGGATAGCACCTCTCTCTGCTGTTCACTGAGAAGAGGTCTTGGTGTTCTCTTTCAATCCTAGATTGTTTAAGGAGCCGCTTATAGCACAGCTGATCTTCTGTGTTGTTTTTTTTTTTTTTTCCTAGGGATTTCCAAAGATTCAAACTTGGTTCCTCATATTTGTGCTACTAATTTACCTACAAAGCCAACTACCCAGCCCCTATTCTATCAATTTTAAATGTAATAAGGGAAGGTATAGAATTGGTATATTTGACAGTACACATGAGCAAAAAGAGCTCCTCAGTCCTTGGTGATTCTGAGAAGGATGAGCAAGATATAGAGCAAGTATGATGGTCCTATATATCACCCATAGAATAGCATAAGGGATCCTACACATCACCTGTAGGATAACATTCTAAGAATTCTATGCATCACCCATAGAATAACATCCCTATACATCATCTGTAGGATAGCATGTAGGGATCCTACACATCACACCTAGAATCCTAGGTACCATTTGTTCAATGTAAACTGAGGGACTTAATGAACAAAGAGTTATTCTAGTGTCTTTCACTATCATTAACGACCAAGAAATTATGCAAAGCATTACAGATCACTAATTATTTTTAGTGTCACATTGCAATGTTTGA